GGCAGTCAAAGCAGTTGGCACACCTGTAAAGAAGAGGGCCTGTAAGACAGTGCTCCAACAAGGACCCCAAGCGAGGGAAAATGCTCTCAAGCAGCAAATCAAGATTAAATGAACCGACTGTTTCATCTTAGGCAACAGCATCACGGAAAAAGGGCAACAGAGCCATCAACAGAAAGAGGAGAGGTTAAGAATCAACATAAAAATGGCAACAGTGAGAAATATTGGGTGATACCAAAACACCTCTTTGTATTATGGAAGCAAGTCATCAAAAAAAACTAGAACATGAAGAGTACATGATACATCATGGAAAGATATTTATTCCCCAAAACAGACTAAAAGGTAACAAGAAGCAATGTAAGTTTCGATGAGAGCTTCAGATACACGTGATCAGGTGTTGATTGAGGAAGGAGCCATTTAAAATAAACGAGTCTTGATGAAAAAGCCAAAGCGACCTTACCTATTCTTTTTCAGCTTAGCTTCAGCTGAAGGCATGTTCTCCAGGCAGCTGGGGCAGTAGTGAGAGTCCACCTGATGAACGAGATGGTCACATCACACTTCTTGGCACATGTTTGTCTAGACAGCATGCTGGCAGCAGCCTGAAACTCTGCCACGTGTTTTAACAAGGCTTTGTGTCTGGCAACGGACAGGTGAAGTCAGTGAAGACTTGAGACATTTTTTGGTATCTGAAATCTTAGCCCATCTTAGCCAAATTTTGATCTTTAATAATGTAAGTCAAAAGGTTTCTTAAGTCAGGACAGATTGAACCATTCTGCCTAGAAAACGGGAAGAGGACAACTGGGTATTTTGCAGTTACCAGAATTTAATTTTTCAGCTTTAACAGCAGGTTTTAACATGCTATTTTCCAATTATATCTACATTTATTTTGCCCTTGGACTTACACTGGTCAGAAATCTATGTATTTCAGAAGATGTTTTGTATTTGTCTGCTGTCATAAACTAATTTTGCTAATTATAACAACAGCAAGAAGGAAGTCCTCTTCTTGAAGAGGAAAACACACACTTTTTGTTAAACATGGAAACGCACAATGACTGCATTCTCATGCTATGGAGAATTCATGACAGATGCAGCTTGGTGACAAACCTATTTTCTGCTCTTCAGAGGCTTTGACATTTGCAGAGAGATACCTCTTCTGAGATGTGGGTTGCATGGTCATTCTTTTTAAGGCTTTCCAAATCTACCGTAATTTCTTACTTCACCCAGACTCCCACAAAATCAATTTTACCAATTTTGTCATGACCTGCGCAGTCACACGAGCAGCCCCAGGATCAAGGCTTGCCCGTGCTCTGCTCCGCACAAAAGCTGTGCTCCTGGCAGGCCCCCACGCAGCAGCAGCAGACTATCGCTCCAGCCTGACGATATTCTGCAGCTCAAGGCTCCAGCCATCTCTGGACAAAGACCAAACCCTCCACAGCAGACATCCCACCGCATAACGCGGGGAAAAGGCTTGTCCATGTGGAAATAACCTCACACCAAACACCCGCAACCCCGACTCCATTCTCAGAAC